TCAGTATGTAGTTTTCTAAATTAGATTCCCGAAGGTACCCTTGCCCAGCGACATCATATAAACTGAGGCCTATTCTTGTTTGATGAAGCCAAACTGCATGATGGAAATTCTTCCATATGAATCTGTATGAAGGAGTTTAGCAAAGATCTTTGCTATAAAAAACTGCTTGCACTTTGGTCCAGCTTTTTCACCAACTTTCAAAAAACTTTCATAATTGATCATTGCTTCTTCTCCAATCATAGGTGGTGTTTGGTGTTTGTCCAGCAAAAACCATAAATTCTATAATTCTTCATTATCTAAGAGTTCTCTGCTTTTTCTTTGTAGAAAGACAGCTCTGGATTCCTCTCTTAATTTCTGTAGCAAAACTTCATCTTCAGCTGACAGCCTATAATAAAACCGGGGAATGATCTTATAAAATTCATTTGTGTTTTTTCTACCTCCTTTCCATTCTGAGTAGTATTTGGTAAATAAATCCATTTCTTCATCTTTCAATTCTTGTTCACTTTTTTTTTTTTGTTTGCACCGGTGTTGGGCGTCGCTAACCACTGGCTTAAATTAATATTTTTAAGAGAGATTTTTAGTATAGGGTGCATGCACTCACCAGAAAGACAGACAGAGAGAGAGAGACAGACAGACAGACAGAAAGTGAGAAATCATCCCCCAGGGTCAATGGCCTGGCCGCAGTTCCTTCTCTCTATTGTCCTCTCAGAATTTTGGACACACATGCATACATGCCCAGTGTGTGTCAAGTCACAGAGTCTGGGGCTTGAACTATGATTGGCTCTGTGGGAGTCCAGCGACATAACCATTCTACTATCTCCTGGTCCCCAAGAATGAAATTTTTGACGATTACTGGTCCTTTGTTTTGTAAAATGTTCCTAGTTTGTCTGGGTTTTTTTTATGGTTGCAGGAATATTACAGAAATTGTTCTCACTATGTCCTATTAGGCAGCTAATGATTTTAATTTGCTTCATCACTGGCATTTACTAAGGTCACTTAGTCAAGGTAGTATTTCCAGCTTCTTCAATGGAAAGTAGTTTTTTTCTTTTCATAATTAGTAAGCATTTTGAGGGGAGGTACTTTGTAACAGTGTAATTATCTGTTAATCATGAAACTTACAGTTTCATAATTTATTTATATCATTATATATTCTTGGGTTCCTAGTTTATTCAATGGATTATAATCTAAACTATTATTTTGGTGTTCTGGATTTGGTCAGTGTGAGTCCATTCGAGTTGGACGTGGTTTATTTTGAGCACTGACTTGTCTTCTAGCGCAGTATGATGCTGCCTCTTTGACACTTTTTTCATCCTGCTGGGCTCTGGTACCCTGTGACCCTCTCCCCAACATGGATATTCTTTCTCTCCTCTGGGGACCTGGAACCCCCATGCAAAGCTGCCCACCCTCTTGGGCCCCACACCATTTCCCCTCACCATGTGGATGCCCTTCTCATCTCTTTGAGACTTCAACACTATGACATGCAGCCTTAGAGCCTGGACTCCTTGACTCCTCCCTTGGGTTCTGTGCTGAACTGCCTCCTTGTGTGAACTTCGCCCTCTTTCTGTTCAGGCTCCAACACTGTCTGTCGTGCACTTGCTTCTGCAGCTTCACCCATGCACCATGTCACATTCTTGTTTAACATTCATTCTTGTTTTACTTTCCTCTTTATGTTCTTAGGCTCTGACATCCTGCCCTGGGCCAGTTGCTCAAAAGAAAAGAGGGAGTATAAGCTTTTGATTGAGCAAATTAGGTACTTTGTGCTTTGCGTGTAGTACATTCTTACTTGTAAACTAATGATTCTATTTTGAGTAACAGGAAGAGTCACTTGAGGCTTTCTATTCTGATTAGAAACCACATATTTTATTTAAAAAAATTTAAAGAGATTTTTGCTATAGGGCACACTTGCTTGCTAGAGAGTCGGAGAGCCAGAGAGACAGAAAGCAAGAAATCACTCCACCCCATTCTCCAGGGAGGATGGCCATGCTGCATTCCCTTCTCCATTCTCCTCTTGAGATTTTGGGCACACGTGCCCAGTGTGAGTTTTAAGCCTCTGTGTCTGGGACTCAAACCATGGTCGGAGTCCAGAGCCTTAACCACTATGCCACTTGCTGGTCCCACAAACCAAAGAAGTGTTTATTTTATTTTATTTATTGTCATTATTTTAAATTTGCTATAGGACATATACACTCACCAGAGACAGGCAACAGAAAGAGAAAGTAAGTAAGAAAGCAAGTCACCAGGTCTGGGAATTGAAACACGGTCGGCCATATGGGAGACCAGTGCCTTAACTGCTATACCACCTGCTGGCCCCACAAACCATATTTAATAAAGACAACTAGAATAGTAAACTCTAAATATATTTCTGCTAAGCTTTACGATATCTTAAAGAAATGAAAGAATATTGTAAATATCATTGTCAAAATCTAATTAATTTTAATTCATTTAAGGTAATCCTACTTTTTCCACAGTATTTAAAAACATGTAGAAGAATCTGAAATTCTCTAATTAACATACCTGATGGGCCAGCCAGTGGTGTGCTGATTAAGGCACCTGGATCCCATACAGCCATCAGTGTGGTCTGAATCCTGGACCTGTTGGCTTGAAAAACACATGGAGCATGAATGCATGTATATCCAAAATCTCAAGAGGAGAATGGAAGAGAAGGGACTGCAGAATGGTCATGCCTTCAGTGGGCTCTTTGTCCCCATCACCCAACCTTTGGCGAGCACATGGGCCCTCTATGAAATTAAGAAAAAATATATATACCTGTTTATTATTTGGTGTATGTCTACTGAGAATTTTTTTTTCAACTGCAGACTTCTTTTTCCCTTTGAATATTATGAATATTGTTCTCTAATTTGCCTTTTTCATCTAACAATATGTTGTGGTTTTTATTCTATGTTAATATACATAGTTGCACTTCAATATTTATTGTTTTTATAATTTCACAGTATTTCTTTTAGTAGATATATCATAATTTACTGGCCCTGTAATTGATTTAATTTTAATTTTATTTATTCATTCATTTTTTAATTTGACCAGACACACACACACACACACACACACACAAAGAGAGAGAGAGAGAGAGAGAGAGAGCAAGCCTCCAGGTCCAGGACTCAATCTGTGGTCAGCCATGTGGGAGTGTCTAGCACCTTAACCACCACACCACCTGCTGGTCCCCAATGTTAAGGTTTTTAAAATTTTTCCTATTATAACTAAGATGAGAATAGCCATACATGTTCCCAACATATGTTTATATATAGTATGATTAGTAGCATAAATCTTAGAATGGGAATTTCTGTGTTAAAGAAAATATGAGTTTTAAATTTAATTTTTCAAAAAAGAAGAATTACTGATTTTTATTTGTACCGAAGTATGTGACCAGTTTTCATAGTCCCTTAAGAATGCTAAATATCGGGACCAGCAGTTAGTGTAATGGCTATGTCACTGGACTCACACGTAGTCGACCGCGGTTCGAGTCCTGGACCCGGTGACTTGAACTCACGCCGGGCGCGTGTGCGTGCGTGCCCAAGATCCCGAGAGGAGAATGGAGGAGAAGGGATTGCGGCGTGGCCACCCCCCCGGGGGGTGATTTCCTGCTTTCTGTCTCTCTGTCTCTTTCTATCTGTCTGGCCAGCGCACGCGCCCTATAGCAAAAACGTCTCAAAAAAGAAAAAAAGTAAAAAAGAATGCTAAATATCTATCAAGATAAGAGATAAATGTTATTTCATTGTTGCTTCATTTTGGATTTTTTCTTTATTATTGCCACATAATATACCAATATTACATTGACACATTTTATATGACTATTACTCATTTTTATTTGTTCTTTTTTTAATGATTTTTTTCATTTAACTTTATTTATTATTGTTATTATTTTAATTTGACCATAGAGAGAAGGGTAAAGTGAGAAAGCAAGCCACTAGATCCCAGGACTTGTACTGCAATTGGCCATGTGGAACTCCAGTGTCCTTACCTACCATGCCACCTGCCAGTCCCTGAATTTCTTTTCTTAATTGTTTATATTCTTTGAACATTATTATGTTGGTATGCATATATTTGTCTCATAGATTGGCTAGAATACTATATTCTAAAGCTGTTAACTCTGTCTCCATTTAATCAACAAATATTTACTTAGTACTTCCTATGTGCCAGGCTTTGTTCACTGTGCCAGGGATATAACGGAACAAAGCACTAAAACTCTCTAGCTCTTATAAAAGCACTTTCTGGGTGGGAGAGACATGTCAAAACAAACAGAAATTTAAAATATATAGTATGTTAGGTGATGTTCAGCTTTATAAATGTAACAACCTTAGAGTAAAGGCTTGAAAGGCATGAAAGGTAGTGATAAAACCTGCATCATCCAGGAGCAGGTTTGTGGCCTAACATAGATAGCAAATGCTTCAATGGAGATAATTGGGAAGAATGGCCAGATGAAGAAGCTTTGAAGCAATTGTAAGTAGACATTATAGTTCGGTTCACAAACACACGGGGAAATGTTCTCCTGAGTGGTGAAAATAAGTTTGCAGACAGATGGAAATTTTATAATATTTTTTTTCTGCTTTATGGAGGATTCATAGAGAAAGAGTTTCAAGAATTATTGAAGGAGAAAAAGGAACACATTTTTATAAGAATTTTTTTTTTGTTAAATATCGATATACAATTTGGAGGGAGGTCAAGGCCTAGAATTTGGTGTTTTTAATGTTGTAATGATGTGGGAATAGTCAAGGAAACCATCTGGCAAGTTCAGGAAGAAAGTGGAAAAGTTGGAGAAGGCTGTTGAAATCTTTGCTCTGAGCTTGACTTTATTGGGAAGTTATGATAGGGACCTAGGGGTGAGGCGATGCTGCTTGAACGGTCATTAGAGGAAAGAAGTACAAGATGTTTGGGGAGGTATTGATAAAGGATAATTTTACATTGAAATGTTCTTACATTTTTCTTTACTTAAAAAGCATTAAAATACTATTAAAATGGTATTTGTGAATGCCTGTGTCTTTCAGGAGCACTGGATCGTTGTGTGATGGGGATCACAGCAGTCGAGATCCTGAACGCGTGTGATGAAGCAGTTCCTGCTGCAGTTGATTCACTCAGTCACCCAGCGGTCAACCTGAAGCAAGCGATGACGAGACGTAGTCTTGCTGCTCTCAAAAACATGGCCCACCACAAGCTACAAACCCTCGCAACTAACCTCTTGGCCTCCGAGGCATCGGACAAGGCAAGTTCTACATGTGGACTCACGTAGGGTGTCTGTTTAACTTCATTTGTAGATTTGGCATATCTTGGTGTGGAATTTTTGAGAGATGATGTTGAAAACTAAGCTTCTCGTTTTTGTTTACATTTTATTCAGGTTTTAGAGTACTTGCAGTAGTTGGCATGTTGAAAAAGTAAATTATCCTTACTATTAAAATGTTTTAAAATCACTCTTAGTGAATTAAATTACTTTAGTTTCTGAAATGAGAGCAAATATTGTATATATGTATACTCTCGCGGTTTGACTTTTTATGGTCTTTCTGTTGAATGATTGTACACTAGCTAATGTCCTCAGGAAGAAAAGCAGTAATTTTGGTACAGCTAAAATGGCTATAGTGATGACATATATTTGTTTGGAAATTCAGCTCTGGTTTTAGTAAGGGTAGGCCGTTATAAGGAGTTAAGAAAATATTTGAGAGTAGGTAGGTATGGTGGAGTTGCACAAGTGCTGGAATTTTTCTGAGACCCAAGCTCACTCACACTTTTCCAACTGACATTTAAAACCAAGGCATAGGGCGCGTGTGCATGCATGCCCAAGATCCTGAGAGGAGAATGGAGGAGAGGGGATTGCGGCATGGCCATCCCCCCTGGGGGGGGATTTCTGGCTTTCTCTGTCTTTCTGGGGAGCGCATGCCCCCTATAGCAAAAACCTCTCCAAAAAAAAAAAACAAGCAAATGACAAACAAAAACAAAAACAAAAAAACAAGGCATAAATTACTTCTTTAGTTAAGAGGCGATTGTCCTATTTAAAAAAATGAATAATCTCAGTTCATTAATTGCCTAACTTAGCTTTTTAGAGACTAGCCACTGCTTGGTTTGTGGTATTTGTGTTCTGTAGAATTATTAGAACTAGTTTGTTTTTGGTGGTGGGTAAATGAAGTCTAGAAATCCCATATTTCATGTGAATCTCTACTTTATATTCTAGTTGAAACTAAGTAGTCATTAGTGTTATTAATGGATAGCACAAAAGCTTTTATTTTTATTCTCTTAGTCTCGATTTCCATTTTCTTAACAGTTAGCCATGTGAGTAAATGGCAAAGAAGCTGAAGAGGCTCATCTGCATATTTGAAAATGAGCTGTGAGTTAGTGAGTGCTGATGATAGGTGAAATACTGTAGGCAGTTCCACTGACCCACATCTTCCTGTACTTGGCAGAAATATCATCCTTTGATCATTCTTTTCTTTCCCAGGATAATACATGTTTTATCTGCTGTGTTGTATATTTCATAAATTGTCATTGTGAAGTTCTGCATTTTTTCTCTATTCTTTCAGTTCCTAAAGTGTGGAAAGAAATCACAGCTTAAATGCCTTTGCCATGGCTGTAATTTATTTCAGGGAACCATATAGCTCTTCCTAGGAATTCAGTGTTTATAGGAGTACATTGTCTGACATGCTATATTATTTTAATTTGGAGTAAATTTATAAAATAATATATTTAAGAACATGCATATAGTTCTCAGATACTTTCTTTTTCTTGGTGGCATGCTCTAGAAGTAAAACTTTGGAAAAATAATTATTTACCTGGAAAATTAAAGAAAAATAAGTGGTACAGTAACATTTACGAATGGCTTATATAAGTGGTCATGGTCCATTATGTGATTTTTACAATGTTGTTTGTCCCTGTTTTAATAGCGCATTTTATAGTGCAATTAGTGATAAAAGCACCAGATATCAGCGACACTACACTTATGTATTGTAAAATATATTGCTTGTGAACCTCTTCAGTCTTGTAGCAGTGGTAATTGTTGCCTGGCCGACAAGGAAAACAATTACAGAAGGGGGGATAAAGGCTGAGGAAGCTGAGGCTGCAGGAGGATAATCACTTTATGAAAAATGTATGTTGGCTGGACCATTAGGGATTTCTCTAACTATTTTCTCATGTTGAGTTTGAGGCTCCTAAGGGAAATATTTAAAGAGCTGTCCTCTGAATGGCCTTCTAACCGTAGGAGGAATAAACCTACACAAAGTTTAAGCAAAACCCCAAACATAAAAGAGCCTATCAGTGGTATGGGACTTACTCTAGGATATCGTATCTATTTTTTTTTTTTTTTTTTTAAGTTTTGTTACAGTCAGTCTTACAATGGACAGGAAAATCTTTATGGGATGCTCTGTAGGAAGTGTCCTGCTTTTGCCCTCTTAGAATAGTGTTAGCAATCAGTGCTATTTGAAAGTAACAAATATTTTATTTTGCTAATTGTGTTATTTATACTAGGATACAAGTCAGAGAAGAAGAAATGATAAAGGCAGATTCTAGATCACACATATAATTGAAAGAAGCTTTTTTAAAGGAAGTAAGGTTGTCAGTTGGTGAGAGAAAAGAAATAATATTAAGAATTAGGGAATAAAGAAGAGTGTTTAAATTTATTATAATAATTAGTCAACTCATTGGTGATCATTAAGGGAGCTAGTTGGGTTAAAAATTAGGGTATTATATTGGGAATTAGTATGAGAAGAGGAGATAAAAAGTGTGGAAGAAATTAGCTTTTGGTGGAAAAACAACGAGGACAATAGTTTCCATGGCCACAAAGTTATGAGCAGGGCTTATACTTTGTTTAGGTAAATATGGAGCATTTGTGTTGATGGAGAGGGTAGTTGGTAGAACTATATAGGAGAATGTGGTGTTGAGAAGAGTTGAAGAATTCACCCTTACTAGAAATTGTTCCCTTGAAATTGGTAGTGATGAAAGGGGGTTGGGTTGAATATGCCAAAGCTATTTTCAGTGGAAGAGGATAAAAGTGGGCTGTGGCATCTGTTAGAAAGAGGGAAGTGGTTGTAATCCCTTGACAGTCGAGCCTTCTTTTTTTAATCCCCACAACACTCTGCATAAGTAATATACTGAATTAGGAGTTAGAAGAGAAGGGAAAAAAAGGAGTTAGAAGGTTTATAAAATATAAATAACTAGTCAACCAGAGATTGCATATGGTGGTATTTAATGATGCATAAAAGAGTATGTTAAGAAGATAGTCTTAGTATATCGGGTTATCTTTTCAACAATATTCTGTTTTGTTTTTTTTTTAATTTTTAATTGCAGAGTGAATATGTGCTTGTCAAAGACATAGAGACACAGAGAGAAATCACCCCCCAATAGGGCATGATCAAGCCATAGTCCATTCTCCATTTCTCCATGCTGTCAGGATTTGGGGGCGTACATACACACGTGCCCAACTTGCTTGTCAAGCCATTGGAATATCTGGGATTTGAACCACAGTTGGCAATGTGGGATTCAGCTCTCTTAACCTCTAGGCTACATGGGGGCTGGCTCATCAAGTTTTCTTGTAAAGATTAGCCACAGATGCTGGTTCTTGGCGGAATGTCTTGGGCCAAAGGAATTTTATTTTAGTAAAATTAGAAAGCTCTTTCTGCCATGAAATTAATTCCCCTGGCTGAGTGTGTGTGTGTGATTTTCTGTTTAGCACCTTTACATCACAGGCATCATTATACCAATCAGAATAACCCTGATTATGTGGAAAAATTTATGATGGTGAAGAATTTGAAAAATGACTAGGAGGATTTACCTTCTACTTTACATTTCTCTCTGTTCTTTAATTAGTCAAAAAATGTGAAAAATGAATGAGCTGTATTTGCAAAGGTCAGTTACTTTGTATTCTCTGTAACTAGATGAGAGAATGGAATTTAGGAGTCAAATGTAACCTACCAAGAACATACTGTGTGGTTTTTGCTTGCAAAATTCACTCTGTAAAAAAATCTTACACGGATTGAATTGACTTTATGATTCACTATGAAAAGGGCACTGTGGGGTACCGACAGGACAAGCAAAATGACAGTACACCAGGCCTTGTCTAGTGAACAGGTTTTGTCCATGGAAGAAGTTTTATGATGTGTATGACCTTTGAAGAATCAATTAAAGTTGTTTAACTGTCTACCTCAACAGTTTAATAATATGTAATAGAAAATATAAATATGTTGATTACATATCTGTTCATAAGTATATATAAATTCAGTTTTGGTTCTAAATGGTTACTAGAATAAAATTTTATATTACACGAATTGCTATGCAGTCTTTTAAAACATTTTTATTTCTAGAGAGCACATTGCTCTCCAGTTAGAAACAAAGAGAGAGGAAGAGGGAGAAAGTATCCTGCTAGTGGGGCATGGTTACACATAATCTCTTCTCTTCATTTCTCCATCCTGTCAGGATTTGGGACATGCATACACATGTGCCTGGCATGTTTTCAAGCTGCTAGGACTGGGATTTGAACTATGGTTAGCCATGTAGGATTTAGTTCCTTTAACCACTAGGCTGTGAGGTTGGCCCCATTGTACATTCTTTAATAAGTAAAGTTAAGAAGCCTTAGCTATGCTGTTTAATCTTTTATTTATTAATGATATATTTAAAGCAATTTTTTTTCTTCAATTTGCCAGAGGGTGCATAGGCTCACTAGAGAGAGTTAGAGAGGCAAAGTAGGAAAGCACCCTCCATGGGAGAAGAGCATGCCATAATCCCCCCTCTACCTCTCCCTACTGTTGGAATTTTGGGCATGTTCACACATGCACCCAATTGAAAAAGTTTTTCAAGCTGCCAGATCTGGGATACAAACCATGCATCTAACCATGTGGGATTCAGCCACCTTAACTTCCATGCCATGGCCCAACCCTGTGCTGTCTAGTCTTAAAGAAGGAATGTCTATGACTGTAGGAGGAGAAATACATTTTCTCAGTTGAATAAGGAAATGTTTGTCGCCTTCCATTCTGTGAGAAGTGTAGAGAAATATGAGAAGTAATATGTTGCCAACAATAAAATAATCATGATCTTCTAACATGCAGAATTCTTGTTATTAGCTTTCATGATTATGTAATATGAAGATATTTTTAAATTTGTTTTTTCATTCTCTGACAAAATAACAGATATGATACCTTGAAAAAGTAATGTTTTAGGTATCTTGGTTACACTCAGAAGTTTGATTACTTTCTGAAGGTGAGAACATAAATCAGAAATTGTTTTTTC